TGTAGGCTCTACATCTCCCATTTTACTGGAGTGTGTTCTGTATGTGGCAGTAAATACAGTGGCTTAACCTTGCTGAATACTCACTCTGGAATCAGTACTTAGCTGCAAAATTGAGGAAAGGGTAGGGTAGGCAGGGAGGAGAATTCATTGGTTAAGGTGGTAGCATGGCACTCTGCACCAAGTTTCTCCTGCTGGGCATGTAGGCACCTTGGCACCTGAGTGTGAATTCACACTGTGTGGTGATGCTGACAGTGGAAAGTAAGTGCAGGTATAAATTTGAGGGGTGTCCTGCCTCTCCTGTGTGCTCAGTCATGAAGGGGCAAGCTCAGAGTTTGGTGCTAACCGCTTGCATGACTCCTCTCATGGAGCACAGCTGGTCTTGGATTGTGTTCAGTACAATAGGGAGAAGCAATTTGAATTTGGTTTTCTTCCTTCCTTGGTAGGCTGCCTGCACCACTTGTTTCCTCTCTGGCTCCTCTCTGAGAGCTGTGTTCCTTTCCTCTGCAGGCCCTTAGCAAGATTGATTCAGTTACCAGTGCAGCATGTATAGTGAATCTGATGTGCTGTGCAGTCTTGTTCCAGCCCTTGATTTGTTCCATGTTTCACTTCTGTTTGCCACATGAAGGGTGTGTGAATCTGACAGGAAATAACAGGGGGAATTCCTCTAGACTAAACTACCGCATAAACATTTCTGTTTCTTTGCATTCATACATACTAATATGTTTACTTAGAGCATGAGGTTTGACCATCGTAACTTGTATCTTTTTTGTCTTGCAGATCCCTGTCAGTTCAAGGAGAGTTGATGACCGATCCTTACTTGCTCACTGAATTGTGAAATGTAATGCACTTCAGTGCATGGCACCCTCTAATGTAACTCAATAAATAAAATACATATGTCAGTGGCATTTAGTTGTCTTCATTAATGCTTAAGGCCTCAGGTTCTGGGAAGAGTGTGGAAAGTCTTCAGAAATTGCTCAAGATGACTAAGTCTAATTTTCTTTCCTCCAGGAATTATTTGCATCTCTGTTTTGGCCAAATTCCATGTTTGATAACACAGTACATCCCTAAGCAGTGACAGCTAGGTTGTCCCAGCTGCTGATGGGAATATGCAGGACAGATGTTACATGAAGGGAGAGAATGGATTTCTGGAGAGGTCTGTGTTACCTCTGGCTTCACGAGAGGAAGAATTTGGAGAGGAATTTTAGCCAACCTTCCTGTCTTTTTCTGCTGTCATCACTGTATTGCCTTCCTTACAGCAGCAAGCTTACAGCAAGACTTAGAGGACTATGCAAATCTCCATTCTTATTTATACATGGTATGTTAGTTACTCTCACTGGAAAATGACTGAACTGCAGGTATGTTCACATGTATTTGGTGTCCAAGGGGAAAGGGGTTATAAGCAGACAAAATAAGAAATATTCTAGGGTATTACAGTAATGAAAAATCTTTGCTTGCTGCTTTTTTCCTTTTTAATATCTGGAAGTAGTCAGCTAAGCATAGTTTTGATTCCTGCTACAATTCTGTGTAGTCCAAGACCCAGTGCTCTGTGTTGTGCCATGGTACCTGTTAGTGAGAACAGGCTTTGTCATTGCCTGTTGCTCAGGATGAAGAAGGTACTAGAGCTGCAACTTTTGTTTGCTGAATGTGGGTCCCCGGAGAGCAGTCAAAGGCTGACTGCGTGGAAGGAGGGAAGGCTTTGTGTGGAGCAGCATGACAAATTAGGCCATCTGTGTTGTATTTGAAGGTCTTCGGTTCAAATCCTGTTTGGAGTAACTATTATTATTTTACATGGATCATTAACTACTTAACACTTAATAGGTATCCTTGAACAACATTTGGACTAATGAAAGCACGTAAGTAATGTATGTGATCCAGAACACTTTATAGAGCAGCATGGGATTTTCTTTAAACTTCCCATAGAGGCAGTGCTTCCTTGACATTAGTGGTGCAGGGGAAACCGTCTAGTAATCAAAATACCTCTGCTCCTATAAATGTAAACCAGAGCTTAACAATAGCAAATGATACCCATTTATCTTCCCAATGTACAATATAAACACTGTATGCCATTAAGTACTGACTAACATTTTCTTGTGCCTGTCTGCAGGTTTAAATAGCCAGGGCTCTTCAGTCATGCTGACAGCTTCAGAGGCAAAGAGACTTGCTACTGCCAGGTGTGCAGGCTAATAGACACCACTTCCCTTGCAGTGCTACGCCCTATATCCTTCCCAGTTGCTATGACTTAATCTACTTTTAAATTCTGAGTTTCTTCTACACTGTTATAGCCAGCAGCAGTTACTGCAGTCTGTGTTCCTTCAGCTACCAGCACATGTTGATGTAAAGAAATGAGTTTCTGACCATACAGCAGAGCTCAGAGGCGTCTCTGACTAAATGTATTCAACAAAGGTGAGCTTCAACTTTCATGGCTGTGCTTTGAGAGCCTGCAGGCTGTAATTGTTGCTTTTTGTATACATTCTAGTTTCACACGATGCAAAGCAAGTACTTTTCCTTCAGTGGGCAATGCCAATCAACCCCTAGCTTGCATTTCCCTGGAGTAGGACGGGAGGCCAGCACTGGGTATGTAACCTGCTTTTTGAAATCAGCACCAACCTGCCAGTTTCTCTAAAACATTTGTGCTCTTTGGCCTTTGCCAGCAAGAGTTCAGCTAATTCTACCTCACAAAGAATTGGAGTGGGACTTAGCATAGTACAAGACCCATGAGTTCAACCCTAATCAGTTGCTTGTTACAGGGTCTGGCATGCTGCTTCTAGGAGATGCAGAGCTAAAAAAACCCCATGCTTGTCTGCTCTGAGACCATCCCAACTGTCTAAAGGTTTTTGCTGTATTTATGTATGAAATAATATATAAAAAGGAATTATTTGACCTAAACTACTTTGGGAAAGGTCTTGCTGTGCATTATAAGCCTGACTATGCCTGCAAATTTTTTGGCCAACTTACTTTATTCTCGAGTGTTTGAGGAGTGATTGATTGTTCTGGAAGCAAACTAAAAAGATAGATTTGAAGTTGTGAGCTCTCCAGGTCTAAAGAGCATTATGAAAGTAGGCATGTTTTAAGACTACACATTGCAGTGCTTTAGCAGCTAAGTACAGGCAGCTGCTCTTTGGACAACTTTGTTTTCATAGTTCACACAGCTCATATGTAGGAGAGGCTGATTTATATGCAGTCTCCACTCGTTTCCATACATGTGGTCAGAAGGGGAAAAAAGAACCTGCCTAATGCAGTAAAGATGCTAGCTCAGTTCACTGAAGAAGAGTGTAATTTAAGCGTGTGTATTCCAGGAGAATGTAATTCAGGAAAAACACAAATGTATCTTAAACAATGGCTGAAATCTACTGTTTTTTAGAAATGAAACTGCTGTCCCTCATTTTTTACAGGTGTGTTTGCATCCCCTTGTCTAGTCTGTGTACTGCATAAAGAAGGGACGGATTGGTCTAATTCAAACACAAAGTGCTGTTTTGATTCAGTTAGTCACAAAAGCATAAAACTTTTCAGCACACATTTTTTGGCAAGATAATAATCAGTTTTTACTTCCAAAGTATTGTCATGATCTATTGCATTTTCTGGTACACTACAAAGTGCAGTGACCAACCAGAATCCAACGGGCTCCACGTGGAGCTTGTGTGTCAGTCCTGTCATTGTTCTGCACCTTGCAACTGAATGACCAAACAACTCACAAAAACACTTATTATAGGAATAGCTTTATTATCTTTAAACAATTTAATTATATTACAATTTATCCATCAATATGCAAAATTAGAAGTATTAAACAATTTCCATAAAATATTCTGGAATGAAGCATGTGTATATATACATATACCTTTCTTAAATAGAGTTATTTGAACAATGACTAAGTTACTAAATCACTGTATGAAATGTTGGTAACGGATGGGCTTAGTTCACAGTCAGAAAAGGACAATGCAGACCCCAGGCCCCTGTATCCTCAGAACATCAGAGACAGCTTTTAGAAACACCTTGTAACAAAACAGAACTCATGAGAAAAACACTGCAGTTACTACATTCTTATTTACTGTGCATTTGGTCATATCAAGTATGCATAGAAGTTATTAACTATAAAGCATATGTATTTCCTCCAAATGATGAAAGATTTTATTCCAGTTCTTGTTGGTGATTCCAACCATGTTCAGGAATCCCCAGACAAAATGCATGTCCGTAAGCACATAGAAAAGGGGAGAAAAGTAATATGCATAGTTAAAAAACAAGTAAGCTTTTGGTTTTTAAAATAAAACTGCCATAGCCAAGTTTGGTTTATAAAGTCATCTAGCTGTGCAGAGACAGTGATCTCCTGTCTACTCTGAGAAATAGGTGTGTTTAGCACATATTTGTAAGTGTATGGTGACGGCATCGTTATCTATTAATCTGATTGGTGCCTGTGGGTCCATACTTCTCAATCAGCCTGAAAAAAATAATCTCACTTTGCTTAGTACATATTTGAAGGGTCGTGTTTCTAAATATCACTGCTTCTATCTGTTTCAAGATGCTAAGCATGAAATGAATCAGGGCTGAAGTGAGCACGTACAATGTAGTGGTGGCAGATCAGAAATAAGCAAGACCCAACAAGGCTATTCTTAGCACCTGCACATCTGGGTTACATTGAGCATATAGATTTTAAGGAGACAGCTCTGTTTCTTAGATTGCTGAACTGCGTGTTACTGGCTTCCAGCTAACGACCAGACAATGCACAATGTCACATAGAGATTGCAAGTATTTCTGAAAATTTGATGGCGGATAAAATAAAGTTTCTGTATACAGACAGTTTTAAAAATAAATTCACGTTGTAGCTCATGTTTTGTTCTCCAAACCACACAAAGGCACTAGTTTACATTACAGACTAATGTCCTGCAAAACTTCAGTCAAATAAAGGAAGCTATTTTAAGGTTAAAGTGGTGCTAAAACCCAGCTGTCACTAGTAACTTAAAACAGCCACACTGGGTTTTTCAGATTTAGTGGGGGAAAATGTTTTGCCTCAGGACGCACATGTTGGGGGAGTGTGGGTGTGGGGGGAGAGGCGCAGCCTTGAGCAAGTTTTTACAGCTGAGTTATAAACCTGGTTTATAACAGAAACTGGCAGACCCTAAAATATGATATAGAGGTATAGATACACATTTGTGTGTGTGGCAAAAATATCTGTATGCACGCAAGTTTCCCCTACTCTAATTTTCGGTTAGTGAAGAGAAAAAGGATTTTGATTGAGCTATAGTCCAAGGCTGTTCCTTCTCACTTTATTCGTTTGCCAGAACACTCTCCTTCCAGCACTAGTATTTTGGCTAGGGAGCAGGCATGTTGTCAAGATTAGAAAAGCTATTGGGCTTTGTTATCAATTTCTACCTCCTCAAAAATTATATGCATCTCTACTTGATGTAGGTTACTGCAGAGAAAGCATTACTTTCAAACTGGGATGGGATTACTACACTTGCCTCAGAGAACTGTTAATTAAATCCTTTCCTCAAGGCTTTGTTTTTCACCATGGTGAATTTGCTAATGAACACTTGGGCAAAATTTGGATCAACCACATACTGGTATGTTTTCGTTATCGTTGGGGGCTGTTCAGTAACCACAGTTTGCAGTGGTGGCACTGTGGAGGTGCTGGGAGGAAGGTGGTAAGAGGTCTTGGTGATGTACTCCACGAGGCGACTGTATTGTTGTTCTGAGAGTCTCTCTCTGCCTCCGTCGGCCTGAAATTAGATGAGATAAAATAGTTACTGAGTGTCTGACAGTAACTGAACTGAGTAGTAAGGACTATAACTTCCACATTACTCTGTTAAAAATCTTCCTCCCTGGAATCTTTCTTAGAGTAATTTAAAGGATTTTTTTAATCAACAAAGGTCTCCCATAGTTTAGTCCTTGGTGAACTAGTCCTCTCCTC